TGTGTTTTACTTGCATCTATTTGAAAGACTGAGTGTAAACACACACACACAAAAAATTATGTGTTGGAATGTGCAGAAAATAGGTTTAAATATTAAGCAAATTTCTTCCAGTCAGAGAATGTTGCATATAGTTAAATTTTTGCTTGATACATAAAGTTAAAAGATTAAAACTAATAAAACAAGTTTTAATAAGAGACTTTTCCATTTGATTACATTTTGTATGATGGATTGTAGAAAAAGTAGAATTGGGCTGAAAGATCTATCGCTTTATCACCTATTCAGGTTGTAAATTGTGTTTTTAAAAAGTAACTAAGTAACTAAGTAACTAAGTAATTAATTACTTTTGAAAATAAGTAATCAGTAAAGTAATGGGATTACACTTTCGGGGAAGTAATCAGTAATTAGTTACTGATTACTTTTTTCAAGTAACTTGACCAACACTGGTAAACTGCATAAACACTTCACTGAAATTGTCTGGTAAAGCACTATTAGTGTTACAAGCTAAAAAGTTATTTTAAAAAAAGCATCCACTGATCTTGGTAAAGATAACATTAAGAAAAGAGAAGCCAAAGGGTGCAGCACCTCAATAGTGATGCACATGATTCCACAATAAAGTCAGGTGCCATCATAAATCACTCTGCCCCAAGTGTGCACACTGGTTGACATAAGAACCAGTGTTAAAATCACTACCATAATACCATTAATCACCAATAGAAACAAAACAAGCAATGTATTAGAATTAGAAGGACAATTAAGATACTATTAGATAATAATTGGAGCTTAATTGGAATTCAAAAGAGAAAAAAACAGTTAGATTCACAGGTAACATAAGTATAACAAATATAAAAGTATGCTATGTCTTTTGTTGACACAGACCAGGTAGGTACAGGTCTGTTTTGTCATAAGAAGACCTTTGACATTAATGTATACGTGGGTACTGCCTGATGCATGGCTTTTTGTTACCTCACAGTCTCCCACTAACACACCCATTATTCCTCAGCACTAATGAATCTATGAAGGACCTGACTAATCAAGAAAACAACTTAGGACTACACCCTCCTGTGACTTTCCTCCTAATTTATGTTGTTTAAGGTCACAAATTCCTATACAGTTAGCAAGAAAATCCAGTGGTCTTTGTAAACAGTCTTTCCAACACATCCCAGTCAGCATTTATATACATACATTTGGGAAATAGGATATGAAACATTTCTTTGGTTTTTGTCCAAGATTTTAATTATTAAGTATTTGGGGCTTTTCCAGGCGTCTGAAACCATGTTGTAATGCACCAAGGTACCTTAAAACCCGATTTGAGCCATGACACTGATTCTTATGACACGACGAGTCATAAGCATATACTGTAAACACTACTGTGATACAATAACACCTTGTAACAATAATCTAGTTTTTTTTTCCTGAGTCAAAGGGGTTTCATAGAGCTGAATCACTCCCTTGTCATGTACGTGCTGTGCGAGCAGCCAGATTTGGAACCTACAATGCAGGACTTCAGAAACAGAAAAAAATCCCTCTGAACCTGAACCACACAGCATGTAGGTATGAGGGACGATGCAATAAAGGGAGACTGAGATAATATATGCACACCGAGTAACAAGGGAAAAGGAAACACTGATTACAGGGGAGGAGACAAGAAAAGTTAAACTGAACGTAGCACATATTTGACAAGGGGCTATAGAAATAACACACCAAACTAACAATGAGACAGAGACTGAGACATGCAACCTTGACACTGACCAAAGAGGAAAACAAATGTCTGACTAGGAACAGAAAGGGGAACGAAGTATAGCAAAACAGGGAGACACAACTGAACGAGAAACCTTGGTTAACTTAACAGAGGAGAACAGGGGGAAGTGACAGGGGACATAGGGAGACAAACAGCGATTAGATTGGAATCCCAGAAAGCACAGAAGAGAACAAATCAGGGAAGATGAGACAGAGAGAGTAAAACTAGACCTAGAGGACAGGAGGACAAAAGACCACAGGAAATACCAGGTGACAGGCCAATAAATGAACCTAACAGGGAAACAGTAAAGCATATAAGATGCTGAAAGGTAAGCCTGATGCACACATGGTAAATGGCAAATGGCCTGCATTTGTTTAGCGCTTCACTCAGTCCCTAAGGACCCCAAAGCGCTTTACACTACATTCAGTCATTCACACACACATTCACACACTGGCAATGGCAAGCTACGTTGTAGCCACAGCTGCCCTGGGGCGCACTGACAGAGGCGAGGCTGCCGGACACTGGCGCCACCGGGCCCTCTGGTTAGTATCTTGCCCAAGGATATTTAGCATGCAGCCAGGAGGCAGCGTGGGATCGAACCACCGATCTTCTGATTAGTGGCTGACCTGCTCTGCCACCTGAGCTACAGCCACATGAAACAAAGGACAAAACACAGATGAGACAAGAACAGACAGGAAACCAAGAACAGACTAAATAAGAAGCTAGACCTGTGAAAAACAATTCAATGAAACAGTTCCTGACTCAATGACTCAGTCAGACATTACTAATCTAAAATGGATGAAGTCAAGCTTTGTGGAAGTCACAAGAACAGAATAACCTTTTATTGTCACTGTACGCGTACAACAAAAAACAGTTGGAAAACAACTCAGTTATTCAGCATTAGTTATTTAACTCTCCATTTTTTTTACACTTATGTCAACACTTCAGCCAATCAAGTCAAAATTGAACCTTCCATGTCAGAACATAAAATGTTCAAGTTATTCCAAGGATTTCTGATTTTCAGTGTAAGTTAATATTAAAAAAGGTCACCTGACTGCCTCTAAATACATTTTCTGATGTTTATCTGTTGGCTTTATTTTCTGAAGTAACCATGGATCTCAGCGAGGAAGAGTCAACTCCTCTGGTGATCAGAGACCGCGGAGGCAGCCAGAGGTCCAGTTCAAGCAATGTTCATAATTTACAAGTCAACTTCTTCCCTGTCAGAAAGGAAGCAACAACATTACAGATCACATCTGGACAAATATCTGCTGAAAATGTCTGCATCCAAGCAGGGAAGAAATGTGGTAAGACTGTAATGCATTATGTATTATGTGAGTCACTAATTTTTGTCAGCTATATTCATTATTGTGAGGCTTTTTTTCCCTCCAGGAATCTTGCCGGTATACCTAAGTCTATTTGGTTTGGCATCTGAAGACCTCTCATTTTGGTATCCTCCTTCTCACATGTTTGACACTGATGAAAACTTAAAAGTCCATTTCAGAGTCAGGTGGGTGTCAAAATGCCTTATTTGATGAGAAAAAATATATATATTTAAGATTCAAATTCAACTTTTCAAATGCTTGTTAATGCGCAGTTTGGCATGTAGACACGGTTAAAACAACTTGCTGAAGTTCAACCCAAACGTCAGAATGGGGAAGAAATGTGATTTAAGTGACTTTGAACACAATATAGCTGTTTGTACCAGACGGAGTATTTATAAAACTGCTCTACTGGGATCTACCCCACACAGTCATTGCTAGTGTTTGCAAAGAATGGTCTGAAAAAGAAATAAATAACCAATGAGTCAAAGTTCTCTGGGTGAAAAGGACTTCTTGATGTCAGAGGTCAGAGAAGAATAGCCAAAGTGCTTTGAGCTGATAGGAAGACAACGATAACTCAAGCAACTGCATTACAACCAAGACACAGAAGAAAATCTCTGAACCGGGTGCCACTCCTGTTAGCTAAGAACAGGAAACTGATGCCACAAGAGCTCACCAAAGTTTGACAACAGAAGATAAAGTGACAGACAGATAAAGTGGCTATTGAATATTCTTTCATTTGATGAATTCTTAGTGCATCAACTCCTTATACTTAGAATGTTGCTATAAATAATTAGAGTTTGGAGTACTAGTTGAAAGGTTTTTAATGGATCCTGATGTAAAGGTTAGTTTTATATGATTTGATATGTAATGGAGTTCTTTTGTGTTTGAAGGTTCTTCTTTGGAAATTGGTTTGGGCAAGAACCAAGATCTTCATACCGCTACAGTTTGACTAGAGACAGAATCAGTCCAGTACTCGACTACAGTGTCATTGACTATCTTTTTGCCCAGGTAAAGTACTAAATAATCATATTATTTTATTATTTTCAAACATATTAAATAAATATTTTAATTAATTAACATAATTAATTTAAATTATGTTATACTTTATGAAATTCGTTATTTTATTTTAATTTTAAGAATTAAGTCGAGACTGATAGAAAGTGATTAGATAAATGTTTTTCTATTTTAAGTACCGATTTCCAGTAAGATGAAATATTTACAATTTCTATTATTGAAAATGGTGCGATTCCATGAGATTCTTCAATTTAATTCATTAGCAAAACTTTAACCAACCATGTACTGTCTTTGTTGCTTTGAGGTGTCTATCAGTTTTCCTTTTTGTAAAACTGATAGATTAATGTACTACTGCACAATGTAACACAAGTTGTGGCCACAAAAAAACTGCATGCTTGTTATACTAGTAGATGTGACTATAATAAGTCCAATTGATTTCTTTTGGTGTTTAGCTTCGAAATGACTTCATTGAAAGTAAGGCAGGCATAGCCCCACCATTGACTCTTCAGGAGGAATGCCTTGGCCTTGCAGTGCTCGACTTGTGGAGAATGGCCAAGGAGCGCAACCAGAGTGTTAGAGAGCTCTGCAAGACTGTCAGGTATTTACAGTTGAGACTATATCATTGCTTATACAACAATCCATTCCAGTTTGCAGTCATTACACCAAATATTATTCCTCTTTAGCTACAAATCCTGCCTTCCCATGTCACATCGCCATGACATCCAGAAACGAAACCGGCTGGACCGCTACCGAATTAGAAATACCCTCAAGCGTTTCTTAAAGAAGCTCGGCAACTGCTCCGTAGATGAGTGCACCCTGAAACTCAAGTACCTGATTGAGCTGTCTGGCATTGAGCCTTCTGTTGGAACGGAAACCTTCCAAGTGAATTATTCTTCCTCCCATCCAACGTCAGACTTCTCTCTTGTGCGGGTCACAGGGGAAACAGGAATCCAAACCGCTGGAAGTATCAATAACAGCCAGGTAAGATGACTGAAGAAGATCGAGTTTAGTTTGTAGTTGGTTAACTGCTATCATTTTCCTGCTTTAATATCTCTACTATGCTACTAAACAGATCAAAATGCTATTTTGTTGATAGGTTTTGTCAAGAGTTGAGTGGCAGACCTTCTGTGATTTCCAAGAAATCATTGACATCAGTATACAGCGGGTATGCCATGAGCAGGTTCCCCAAGACAGCAGGATGGTGACTATAACACGAAAGGATGACAGCTGCTTGGTAAAAAAACAACATATTTTACACTTAAACCATTGCAATATATATATGTATGTATATGTATATATATATATATATATATATATATATATATATTGTTCTAGTAACTATTTTACTGTTTGGATGTAAATATGAACAATTTAAAAGCTATTTGCATCAAATTAGTGTCCTCGGGCAACTGTATCCACTTTTGTATTGCTTCTCCAAAGCTCCCTGTTCTGGATGACATTTGGCTTGCTGAGGTGGAAAAGTTGCAAATTTGTACCATCTGGCCAAAACTGGTCATGGCATAACACCAAACCTTTAATCATAGAAGGACCAATGTTGGTGATGTTTGTATGTTGAATAGAATTCTACCCAGACCATCTCTGGTGAAGTTAATGTGTTGGAGTCTTACAATTATCCCCATTCTTTCTGTGATGTCAGGAAAGCTGTTATGTCTATAGGAAGTCAGTTAACGAGTTAGGACAAGTGGTGGACCCAAAAGTGTGAGACATCAAGTTTCCATCACCACTGAAAAATGCTTTTTTCCCCTTCTCATTCTTTTTTCAAGAAGGCTTTCAAATTTTGCTTAGTTGAAATTAATTAATAGAGAGATAGTTGAGAGCACTAGAACTAGAGCATTAGAAAGTCTAACAACGGTGTCCAGGCAACATTTGAGGAGTAACTTGACTGAGCATCATTGTAACACCCCAGACACTGGTTCAACTTTTAATTTGGAAGTATTTTTCTACCATGACTAAGCAAACACTTGGTGGTTATTCAGTGTTGTAATGCTTGCTGACGCTGTCAAACAATGGTCCTTTAACTTAAAACTAAAACTAGAGAAGAGGACAAGAACACAGAGGGCCAAATGCGGCAAGCAGGGTGTGCAGTGAGTAATAAATGTCTGCCTACAAATGGTTCATAGCCAGAGGCCTAACTCCCGTGACTACTGATGGTTCTCAGGATAAATGTTGGCTAGGTTTGATCCATAATGTGATGTGGGAAGTCCATGGTAAGACTCCACGGTACACATAGCATCGGTCAGAACGGGAGTTTGAAAACCTAACTTAGTCCCCTAAGTGGTCCAGTAATGCAACAGGAGACTAACAGGAGAATAACTTTTTTTGTGTGTGACTACTTTCATTACAGGAAGTCAAGTTCCAGAGTCTCAAAAAGGCACTTTCGTTTGTGTCACTTGTTGATGGCTACTTCAGACTGACCACAGACTCAAGCCACTTCTTCTGCCAAGACATTGCTCCGCCAAGTATCCTGGAGGGAATTAAAAACCATTGTCATGGCCCAATAACGTGCGTCAATTTAATCATTACTTAATCAGACGCCAGCTTTTATACACACACACACACACACACACACACACACACACACACACACACACATATATATAGATATATTCTGATTTGTTTTTATGCTGTTTGAGCAGATCAGAGTTTGCAGTCAACAAATTGAAAAAGTCAGGATACAAAGGTGGTACCTTCCTTCTGCGGCAGAGTCCGAAGAACTATGACAACTTTTTCCTCACTGTTTGTGTTCAGGTACAGATATAGACAAAAACCTTTGTTTAAATGTTTTTTGTCACCCACTTCATGTTAAAGAAGCATCTACTCAATCCGATGTGCAAGAGTGTTTCCCATGGCTTACATTTTGACTTAAGTGTTTGGATTCTTCCTTCTGATCAAAAATCACCCTCTTATTTTTGCAGACTCCACTTGGACTTGATTATAAAGACTGTCTCATTAATAAAAATGAGCACTACAGTCTCTTTGGTGTCCAGAAATCATTTTCCAGCTTGAGAGAGCTTACCAGCCACTATCAACACAATAAGCTCCTGCTGGCTGAAGTACCTGTCAAGTTAACCTGCTGCTGTCCACCCCGACCCAAAGGTATGTTTCCTCAAGCTACAGATTACATTATCTGCCTTGATCGCCAAAAATACAAGGGCAACCACACAGAGAGATGTGACCCTGATACTTCATTTTGGCCATCTAGTTCCTGAAATTCAGCACCATGACTACCAAGAGGCTAAATTAATAAGCTAGCTCATCTAGTTAGCTAGGCGCAGTGAGTAAACACTGTGACAACTGGGATGCTTGTTTTCACTAGTGAAAAAGAGACATAAAAAGTACTTGCCAAAATAAGTTCAGAGCCAACTACCAAGAGTATCCTTTAGTACAACTTCTTTCACAGAGGAGCTGCCACCTGCTGGCCATTAGAAACAGTGCAGATTAATGGCACTTTAAGACTTTGCTGTTAAGAGCAGCAGGTTATGTCCATATTTTTTGACGGGTCTGTTACAGGAAAATCAAAGTGTGATTACATATTTGTATCAACTGCATGCCAATTTTCGCAATAGAGTACATACTGTTCTGATTTTTTTTTAATATGAAATTGTCATATTACAGTTGTCTTATAATCTAAGTTTTATTGTTTCAATTAATCTGTGCATTTCTACTCAAAGCTATCAATTGTATCAGTAGAAACAAATGAACATCCACATGGTTACAATGTGTAACTGTCACATTCAGTATTCTGAACTACATCAAGGATATAGAAAAAAACATTACTAGGACACATGTACTGTCAAATCTACAGTTTTCTGTGCACTCATCAACATTCAATTCTTGTTTGAGGTAATATATGTCTGAAAGATTGAAGATTTTATAACAAATATTATGTTTTCTGCTGTTTTTAAAGAGCTCACAAATTTGATCATCATACGCAACTGCAGCTCTGTAGAAGCTCCAGGCTCTCCAACAACCGAAAGAAACAAATTCAGTCACATCCAGTTTCATATGATCAAATATGAGGACCTGAGCTGCGTAAGTTGATCTGCATGTTGTGCCAATCAGGCCAGTTGGTACCTCTGATGACTGTCAGTACAAAACGTCTTCTACTTGTTTTCTTCTTTTTCCATATACTCCTTTTTTAGTGAAAGCAGAGCAGGAGCATTAATGAAAAATATACCTTTATCCTAACATAACAGGCATTTCTTGCTTGCTAGCTTTGGACGAGAAGTGGTGCATACCTATAGTGGTGAACTCATTTTTTAAACAGTAAACGGCAAGTATTTATAAACTATCTGCATCATTAAATTTCTATTGAAAAATTAATGTTAACTCAGAGGTAGGCAACAGCAGCCCACTTCCCCCAGCTGCTATCCTTCATTTTGGATTTATTTTCCTGCATTGTTCTATTGGGGTAGCTCTTCAGCCCCATGTAGAGAGAGGGATTCTGGGAATCCAAACAATGCTATGGCTATGATGTCAACCACATCTCCAGTGGTTCCTCCTGCACCTTTCACAAACAACAAACTAGATGAACATGGATATGGAATAGTTGTTGGTTATTTTTCTTTGAATTGTAATTTTTAATTGTTTATTACCTTAACTTATTCCTTTCTGACATGAACAGTAGCACCCTGTATTACAGCTTCCATGTGTTTTTGATATTTCATAACTGCAACAAGATTTGCAAAGACTTGCATAGCACCTATGTACCCTGTGAAACTGTGCTGAATTTCAGATATCTATCTATAGAGAGAGAAAGCATGTGATAGGGTGCCAAAAGAGTAATTGTGATAGTGCACAAGGAAGTCAGAAATATGTAAGGATGGTGTAATAGGACTGTGAGACAGTGGTGAAGTGTGCAGTTATGATAGATGAACCCAGGTGATAGATGGGTTCATGGTGAGGGTGAGATTATATAAGGGATCGGCTCAGACCCCCTTATTGTTTGCTATGGTGATATACAGCTTGACAGATGAGATCAGGCAGGAGTCTCTATAAATTATGATGTTTGCAGATGATATTGTGATCTGTAGTGAGAGTGGGGAGAGGTGGAAAAGAGTCTGGAGACATTGGGGTGTGCAATGGAGAGAAGAGGAATGAAAGTCAGTAGAAGTAAGACAGAATACATGTGTGTGAATGAGAACAGGGTAGGTGTAACAGTGAAGCTCTGAGGAGCAGAGGTAGTGACGCTAGAAGAGTTTCAATACAGACAGTGGCACGGACATAAGACAGGACGTGGAGCTAAAG